CCCGCGGGCAGCGGACAGGGTTATCCGCTGCCCACGCGCTCCGCGGCTTGGCTCTGCTTTGCCCCCCCGTCTTGAAACTGATCAGTTTCAGCAGCGGCTGAATCTGGACGCCAGTTCCGACTTACATACAGATTCAACTTAAGAACAAACCTACAGTCCCTATCTTGTACGTAACCCGGGGACTGCCTGTACAACTATCTTGTACTCAGGAGTGTGAAATATACTGAGCTAATCTCAGGTGTAGACACTACCACTACACTGAAGTACTATTAATTGGATGTTTATCTTCAGCAGCGGCTGAATCTGGACGCCAGTTCCGACTTACATACAGATTCAACTTAAGAACAAACCTACAGTCCCTATCTTGTACGTAACCCGGGGACTGCCTGTACAACTATCTTGTACTCAGGAGTGTGAAATATACTGAGCTAATCTCAGGTGTAGACACTACCACTACACTGAAGTACTATTAATTGGATGTTTATCTTAGCAGAAAACAAAATTTGAATAGACCCTGAACTATACAGGAAAACCCAATACACTTAAATTCCTGGAGATCTTTCAGATTTGGAAAGGAGTACAGTTTGGACTTCCCTCGTCTGTCTCCCTCGGGACCTGAGTGGTCCTGAATGAGGGATTTTGCTGGACCATTTCTGCCCCCCGTCACCAGCCCCCCAGCCCGGCTCTGCTCCTGCCGGGCTCTTATTTCTGGCCCTCTACTGTGTCTCTTTGGTCCAGCAGGACCACGGGTGTTGGGGGACCAGGGAATCCTGATTGCGTTTCAATCTGTACAATGAGAGTATGTTGGAGACAGACTACATTATCACTATCTCTGCTATGTTGTATCCACAGAAGAAGTCTTGGCTTCCAAGTCAGCCTCGGCAAGGGGGAGGGGGAAAGCAGGAGCTGGTAGTGGGCAGCTGGCTTAAAAGCCAGTGCCATCCAGCACAGTCTCCACAGAGCTACTTCTCTCCCCCCCTATCAGAGGGGGCACTATCAGAGGCAGCAATGCAGGGAGAGAGGTGGGACAGGGGGGCTGCTTCACCACAGCAGCTCCCTGCTGGGACCCTTCCGTGGACAGGGGCTGCTGGACCCGGTGCAATCCAGGACTGAGCAAGTCTGGCTGAGTCCCGAATTGAGCTGGGTCCAGGAGCTACCCCCACTGTGGCTCTGCAGTTTAAATATAGTATTAGCTGGGCTGCCTGCGTGCCCGGCTCTTACTACATTTAAACTGCAGAGCCACAGTGGTGGTTACTCCTTCTGAGTGCCTTTCCTGATTGACTAATTGAGTAGTTGATCATAGAATCAGAATACTAGGACTGGAAGGGATCTCGAGAGGTCATCGAGTCCAGTCCCCTGTCCCCATGGCAGGACCAAATACTGTCTAGACCATCCCTGATAGACATTTATCTAATCTACTCTTAAATATCTCCAGAGATGGGGATTCCACAACCTCCCTGGGCAATTTATTCCAGTGTCTGACTACCCTGACAGTTAGGAACTTTTTCCTAATGTCCAATTTTCTCCCTCCTCCTTATGACACTCTTTTAGATACCTGAAAACGGCTATCATGTCCCCCCTCAGTCTTCTCTTTTCTAAACTAAACAAACCCAGTTCTTTCAGCCTTCCTTCATAGGTCATGTTCTCTAGACCTTTAATCATTCTTGTTGTTCTTTTCTGGACCCTTTCCAATTTCTCCACATCTTTCTTGAAATGCAGTGCCCAGAATTGGAATGCAGTGCCCAGAAAAAATTGTATTGACTACACGATTACCCAATTACTCATCTCTTAACATCCTTAATGCAGATTGCCTTGGGGAGAAAGGACTAGCCCTCTCCTCTCTCACTGCAGCAGCTTGGGGCAGAGTGAGAAGCACCCCTCTGTGGCCTCTGCAGCTCCAGTAGGCAGAGACAGGGGCAGGGTGCTTGTTCCCCAGCTGGGGTGGGTCCAGGATCATCTGCCCTCTGTGTTCTCCAGGCACAATGAGGAATGTAGCAAACTGTGCACTTTCCCCTTGCTCCCTGAGAATGGGGAGCAGCTAGCAATGTTCCTGTACAAATAGTGAGGTGGGAGGGGCAACCCTCCTGCATCCTCCTTAAAAGGTGCCTGAGTAGCGGGAGGCTCAGAGCTGGGGCAGGCCTGCACAGAGGTGAGTGGACACCCCAGCCAGCCCCTTTCATCTGCCTCATGATTCTGTGTCTCTTCAGTATGGTTTTATGAGTAGCAGTCCCATTCCAAGCACATCCCATTTTCCTGGCACAACCAAACCTTTACCTTGCTTTTAAGTTACAATAAGAGGAAAGTATATACTGATATTGGTGGTTCTGGCTCTTACCATTTAGGAAAAGTTCTCAAACAGACAGACACAGTCAGACACACTCTCTCAAAAATATAGTAGGTAATAGCTACTTACAGTAATGACTGAAGTTCCATACTTTTTAAAACTGTATTTAATAGACCTAACCCCATGCAGCTTAATTGAGTGAGTCTATTGTGGGTCACGCATCAACTACAAAATTAATTACATGATGGATCTACATTAGTGATACGTGTTCTAGAAAGAACTCAGATTCCAGGTTGAGTTTGCAGTGTTATCCATTAGAGGGGGGAAAGAAATCTGCACATCTAAACTTATTAGATTTGATTTAGTAGGATTGAAACAAGTATGGATCCGTGCCCTTCAATTTTTAACTTTTGGGCACAACCTCATTTGAAGTCTTATGTGAAAGAGCCACTTGCAGTATATACCTACGACTCTGCGTACCACATAATAAGAGTGGTTTCAGATAGATATCGCTTGAAAGGAAGCCCTCATTCAACTTTTTTCACTTTCACAACTTATGAGTAATTTAGAAAAATAAGCACTTTGTCCTGAGGGGAAAGCTACACTTGTGTCTAGACTCTAGTAAAATACTGTATTTTGCCCACCTGAGTACAGGCAGTCCCCGACTTACGCGGATCTGACTTACGTCGGATCCGCACTTACGAACGGAGCTTTCTCGCCCCGGAAGTCGGGGCGAGAAAGCCCCGTTCGTAAGCTGCTCCAGTGCCCCTGGTCTGCTGGAGACCGTCTCCAGCAGACCAGGGGCACTGGAGCAGCTTACGAACGGGGCTTTCTCGCCCCGGAAGTCGGGGCGAGAAAGCCCCGTTCGTAAGCTGCTCCAGTGCCCCTGGTCTGCTGGAGACCGTCTCCAGCAGACCAGGGGCACTGGAGCAGCTTACGAACGGGGCTTTCTCGCCCCGGAAGTCGGGGCGAGAAAGCCCCGTTCGTAAGCTGCTCCAGTGCCCCTGGTCTGCTGGAGACCGTCTCCAGCAGACCAGGGGCACTGGAGCAGCTTACGAACGGGGCTTTCTCGCCCCGGAAGTCGGGGCGAGAAAGCCCCGTTCGTAAGCTGCTCCAGTGCCCCTGGTCTGCTGGAGACCGTCTCCAGCAGACCAGGGGCACTGGAGCAGCTTACGAACGGGGCTTTCTCGCCCCGGAAGTCGGGGCGAGAAAGCCCCGTTCGTAAGCTGCTCCAGTGCCCCTGGTCTGCTGGAGACCGTCTCCAGCAGACCAGGGGCACTGGAGCAGCTTACGAACGGGGCTTTCTCGCCCCGGAAGTCGGGGCGAGAAAGCCCCGTTCGTAAGCTGCTCCAGTGCCCCTGGTCTGCTGGAGACCGTCTCCAGCAGACCAGGGGCACTGGAGCAGCTTACGAACGGGGCTTTCTCGCCCCGGAAGTCGGGGCGAGAAAGCCCCGTTCGTAAGCTGCTCCAGTGCCCCTGGTCTGCTGGAGACCGTCTCCAGCAGACCAGGGGCACTGGAGCAGCTTACGAACGGGGCTTTCTCGCCCCGGAAGTCGGGGCGAGAAAGCCCCGTTCGTAAGCTGCTCCAGTGCCCCTGGTCTGCTGGAGACCGTCTCCAGCAGACCAGGGGCACTGGAGCAGCTTACGAACGGGGCTTTCTCGCCCCGGAAGTCGGGGCGAGAAAGCCCCGTTCGTAAGCTGCTCCAGTGCCCCTGGTCTGCTGGAGACCGTCTCCAGCAGACCAGGGGCACTGGAGCAGCTTACGAACGGGGCTTTCTCGCCCCGGAAGTCGGGGCGAGAAAGCCCCGTTCGTAAGCTGCTCCAGTGCCCCTGGTCTGCTGGAGACCGTCTCCAGCAGACCAGGGGCACTGGAGCAGCTTACGAACGGGGCTTTCTCGCCCCGGAAGCCGGGGCGAGAAAGCTCCGTTCGTAAGTGCGGATCCGACGTAAGTCAGATCCGCGTAAGTCGGGGACTGCCTGTATATCTTCAAAGAAATGTATGTATATAGCCCCTGCCAACATAAAAATCCAGTTAAAATGTTTTTAATAGAAGAACTTGTTGCTTAGGGGTAGGTAATGGACTATATAGAGCCTTTCATTTTCAGATTGCTTATTCTAATCTAGCCTAGGTCATTATGGACTGAAACTTGCTGTTGTATGATGTCTTTCTGATGAACTTGAGTGAAATGAGTCTGCTGTAAGTCTACTTCCTAGAGTACAGGTATTGATGTGACTTTAAACTCCCCTCCCCTTTAGGGAAGTAAAAATTAAAACAAAAACCAAAAAAACAGGAACCATATCATTGCATTACATGGCAGTCAAGAACTAAATGGTGTGATACTAGAATCATAGAATCATAGAATAATAGGACTGGAAGGGACCTCGAGAGGTCATCGAGTCCAGCCCCCCGCCCTCAAGGCAGGATCAAGCTCCGTCTACACTAAATCGTTCTCACCTCTGAGATAGTATGCCCAGTTGGGGTGGAAGAACATTGATATTAAGAGTCTGGAGAAACTTGCAGTATCATCTTGTGCTGAGCTTGTTCTGTAGATAAATAGCACTTAAATCTTCAAAGTTACGAGTCTGGTGCCATTCACAAAACTAAAACTTATACCTTGGGAATTTAAAGAGAATGTGTTTTCTGCTAAAAATTCTAAAAGTCAGTTGTGTAGGAAATACAATATATTTTGAGTAATAATACTTTTATGTATGTGTTACAGGCTGGGGCGCTGGATTTGCTAAAGGAGCTTAAGAATATACCCATGACCCTTGAGTTATTACAGGTAACATTTTTATATTGCTGTTCTATTTTAAAAATTAATTTTTAAATGGCAAAAATAAAACCTAAGAGATGCATAGATACGGATCGGAGGTTCACGAGAATATTCTCTGCTTCTTGCATCAGATTTCAATAGAAAAGGTTTCAATTTGAGTACACAATCTTTGGGGTGGAGAACTGCCTCCACACCTGTCAGTACTGTACACCAGTGTTCCCTGTAAGCTGAGCACTTGGGCAGCCACTCAGGAGAGATTCAGGTGCTGCCCAGCTTATTAGCAGAGCTCCCAAAGCTGACAATAGCCAGCAGCTTCTGTTTCTATTGGTGGCGCACATCAGCACATGCGTTGGTGCACAGAACACCGTTTATTCTGCACATGAATGGAAAAACTTAGGGGGAACATTGCTGTATACCTGTGTTGCTTTGCAAATAAAACCAAATAAATTGTCCATTTACCTATGTTGTATCTTTCTGACAGTTTGCATGTGTCATCACACCCAGAATCCACAAAGAGAAAACATTTCAAAGAACCATAATTATGGTGTGGTAAATAATGAGTCTTTTCCTCCACACTGACAAATGGCAGTTGTTTTAGATTTACTTTTGTCCAGCAAGTTGGGTTGGAGCAGGAACTGGTGCTGGGGAGAGCTGGCTTAGAAGCCCGTTCCCCCTAGCACTATCTCTGCAGGAGAGTCAGAGGCGCAGTGGGGGAAATGGCACAAGCGGGGCCTGAGGCAGTTCCTGCTCACGCTGGGTCCTGACTGCTGTGCTTCTGCTTTTTAAATGTAGTAAAAGCCACTGGCAACTCTTATTACTTTTAAAAGGCAGAGGCGCAGCCGGGATAGCGAGCACACTGCCCTCCCCCCCCCACCTAATTGAGCAGTCGATAGAAATTCTGTTGACTACTCAATTAGCTGATGAGTTTAAATTTAACCCCTAGTCTAGAATCAAGTCTTTGTAGATTCTTTTAAGCCTTTTCTGTTTCAGTTAATTGGCCTAGAAAGATTGTGCATTGTGGCATAGCCCAAGCAAAAGGCAACTTATCTACTGCATAAGCCTATTGGTAAGTTGTCTCAGGGATTATACTTGAGGCACTAATCTGATGTGCTCTTTTCCTGAGGGAGGAGACAAACCTATTTCAACCCTTTACAATGGTACCATACTACCTCCCTCATGGGTCTGGTCCGCACCACTGACTAGATCATATGGGAATGGAGCCATAGTTCTGCCCCATCCACTAGAGGGGATATGTTGGATATGCAGCCCCTTCCAGCTTTCCATGTACATCTGTGAATGGGGTAGGTCTTAGACCACCATGGAAATAGATGCGGGGAATACTAATATTCCCTTCATCTCCCTCGTGTCTGGGTGAGGTGAAAGTGTTACATAATCTGGGTCTCTCTTTGAGCTTTGCCTATGTCAGAGGTGAGCAAAGGGCCTGCCAAGCTGGTGGATCTGGCCCACAGCCGCCCTGCCACTCCCCCCGCATGAGGCCAATCAGGGCCTGGGGGCAGGGAGCATGCCGAGTATCTCACATCCATTTCCCTGCCCTGCAAGGATCATGCAGGGGCTAGAGAGACACGCCAACTGTTTTAAAACAGCTGGTCCATCTCTCTGTAGCTGCAGCACACTCTTGCGGGGCGAGGAGACTTTGTGCGCTCCCTTGCCCCAAGGCCCTGATTGTCCATGGGGCAGGGAGAGTGCACAAGTTCTCTTCCCACTAGGCACCTAAAATAGATGTTCTAAAATAGCTGGTGTTTCTCTCCAGGGAGGGGAAGGAAGGGGGAAGACGTCTGGGTCTCCCTAACCCCAGGTCAGTGAGGGGGACGGGGAAAGCACAAGAAGTCCCCTGCCCCCACCCCTTCTACCTGAAGCCCTATCCCTTCTGGAGTGGCCCGGCGCCACTTCAGAAATTTCTGAAGTGATCCCCTTTTAAAAATTATTGTCCAACCCTGGACATATTGCTCAATTATGTCCAGCTTTAATTGAAAACTTGGCTTTTAATTATGCCACAAGTACGATCACTTATAAGAACATAAGAATGGCCATACTGGGTCAGACTAAAGGTCCATACAGCCCAGTATCCTGTCTGCTGACCGTGGCCAATTCCAGGTGCCCCAGAGGGCGTGAACTGAACAGGTAATGATCAAGCGATCTTTCTCTTGCCATCCATCTCTACCCTCTGACAAATAGAGGCTAGGGGCACCATTCATTACCCAACCTCCATGAATTTATCTAATTCTCTTTTAAACCCTGTTATAGTCCTATCCTTCACAATCTCTTCAGGCAAGGAGTTCCACAGATTGACTATGCGCTGTGTGAGAAGAACTTCCTTTTATTTGTTTTAAATATGCTGCCCATTAATTTCATTTGGTAGCCCCCAGTTCTTATATTATGGGAACAAGTAAATAACTTTTCCTTATTCACTTTCTCCATACCACTCATGATTTTATAAATCTTTATCCTATCTCCTCTTAGTGTCATCTTTTCCAAGCTGAAAAGTGCTAGTCTCTTTAATCTCTCTTCATATGGGATCCGTTCCAAACCCCTAATAATTTTAGTTGCTCTTCTCTGAACCTTTTCTAATGCCAGTATATCTTTTTTGAGATGAGGAGGGGGGTGGGGTAAAAATCTATGATAACGAAATTTGTCAGAATCTGCAAAGCTGTTGGTATTGTCCCATGATGAAGCAACAGTTTAAAGTAATGGTATTGTACTTTTACATAATAATTGTAGTACTTGGTAGGAAGTGCTATAATTAAGATTGGAGAATTATTTCAGGTATAACTTTGTTTTTACTTGCTTATAACTTTGGATTATAGAAAATGTTTTATTAGTTTCAGCCAAAAAATAAAATACATTTTGTCGTGTTTACAGTTTAAAGGAACCCTTCTAGTTGGGGCTGAGTTATAAAACTGTATGCTTCCCCTCCCCCCCCCCAAGTCTATTAAGAAAAAATAGATTAAAAATAGATGTATGATTAAAAATAGATGGACTATGAAATTAGGCATATAAATAGTGCTATCTTGGATTCAGCAGTGAGTAAGTATTTGTGCACAAATAATTGGATATATAATAACTGTGAAAAGCTCAATAGGTATTTTTAGCAGAGTCTAGTGAAGGCCTGTTTCCTTTGTAACATTGCAATACATGCGGCTGCTGTAATAATTTGAATTAGAAGCATTGTTTTTAAAACACAGTCTTCCCAAGTGACACTTCAACATTAACATTGCACAGATAATGTTTACATTTCCTGATTAATTTTATGGTTGCAGTGGCAGTTCTAGGCTTGCCACATCATACATCCTGTATATTTTGTGGAATACACGTATATTGTTATCTTTATAGAAAAATAATTTGAAAAGACTGTGCGCATCCAGTGTGGTTGTGTTAACATTGCAGAAAAATACCATCCATTTGTTTAAAAAAAATTTTTTTTATATTTGCTACTTACTAATATACTAAATATAAAGAATTTTTGTAGCTATGGAAGTCTCTATAAGGATCCAGAAGAGCCTTACAAAGTCTGTATAAATTCAGACTTTGAGGAAACAAACCAGATAGGTTAAGATTTTAATCAGTACTCTGTATTAGCCATATTATGCTCCATTTTGATCAACATATTTCTCTGCCAAACATGTCTCCCATTTCCTTTACTCTAAAATTTAATAGTTGCACATTTTTTTAAGTCAAGATTTCCAAGTCCTGAGGCCTGAAGTTATTTGATGGGTTACCTTAGGGATGTTAAATATTGGTTAATTTAATAATAGATTAACCTCATGAATTCTTATCCGTTACTTGAATATTCTATAGTCCTCAGGGGCAGGACCATCAGCCAGTACATGCCGGCCCCACTCCCGAGGAGCCTCCTGCCACTCTGTGCTGCTGCCTCTTGTATCAGAGGCAGCAGCGCAGGGTGCCAAGCCCTGGAGCTGATTTGCAAAGGGAGCCAGTTTAAAAAACAGCTGCCTGTCACCCCATGCTGCTGCTGCCGCCTCTGATACAGATACAGGATGGAAGCTGCCCCTGTTGCCGGGAGTGGGGGTTAGGGAGGGGAGCTGAGCTTCCAGATGTGGTGCAAGCCAGAACTGAGCCGGTCTGTCTGCCTGGCTCCTGATACACTTTAAATGCTGAGCCACAGCGAGAGTAGGTTCCGGACCCGGCATGAGCCAGGACATAGCTGGGCTGCTGGCCAGCCTGCTAAAAAATTTACTGGCGTGGGGAGAGGGCAGAATGCATGTAGTCTATAGCATTAACTTATGAACTTTTGCTTATCGGCTAATCGACTATACTATTGCGTCTGTAGGTTACCTATACTAAAACCTAGCAAGAATCACCTGCTTATAAATGTGAACAGTTGTCGTATTCTCATTGCTCACAAAAATGTGGTACAGGAATTTTGATTGGGGAAAAGGCATTCTGTAGAGCAGCAGTTGTCAAACTTTTTGGGCTCCGGAGCCCTTTACATGTGTAAAAATGTATGCGGAGACCCAGCGGTCCACTGATTGTATGTGTTGTACCTATCGATGTTTCCAGTTCATCAACCTCACAGAGCCCCTGGAGATGTCTCAAGGAGCCCTGGGGCTCCGCGGAGCACAGTTTGAGAAACACTGCTGTAGAGAAACACATGTGTACACTTCCAGTATGAATTTACAAAAATCTCTTAAGTGAATTTTTCTTTAAAGAAGAAAAATAATACAAAGTCATTATAATGTGAAATAGAACAAACAATCATAAACAATAAACAAGCAGCTTGATTACAAGGTATTTCAAGGCCTATTTTCTTTGGCAACAATACACAAAATAATGAAAAAAGTGAGCCTTTTATAAGCAATATGGGAAATACATATTGCATTAATGTCTTAAATGACATGAAATAAGAATAACTGTATCTTTGTTAAAATTTTGACAAAGACAGGATAGTGTTATATAAACAAGGTTGCTATTTTTTAGCAGAAAGTAATCTGAAATCAAATTAGAAAACGATACTAAGTGTTTTTGGGTCA